GAGTGTATTATGCAAGTTTTCCTATCATTTACAGGATATATATTAATATTTATAATTTCAAGATACTGAGGTTATATTTGGTGTTCTGAATTACTATGTATAAAGAATTTAGTCTAAAATTAGAACAGATATTAATTTAATAGGTGGATAATGTTATTTATTTTTTATTTAAAAGAATGTAATTTTTTATATTTCTTAAGCTAACATTTTAGGGAGAATAGAGTTTTGAATAATGATTTTTAGGAGAAGGTGGGGTTAAAAAGTAGGGAAAAATTTTGGCCTTTAAGCATAAGTTCGTGTGGCGTTGTCAGTCGGATGCGTTCGTCTTGTCTAGTCATAAATGTAGATTTATATAAAGTGCATATGTTAACACGAAATTTATGAATAATTTGTATCTATTAGTTGCAAGTGTGTCCCAAGTATAATTTTTTGATTTTTTTTTTTTTTTTTTTTTTTGCCCCTCTTTTGAACCCATACTAGAGGTATAATTTGACTCTTTTGAACCCATACTAGAGGTATAATTTGACCCCCAATTAAGCGGAAGAAACTTGTTAAATTAAATATGAAATTAATATAAAAAAAAGTAGAAAATAAAACTTAATACCAAACAAGCTCAAGTTATCACACAAGTGCAAAGTTTTTAAACAATCGTCTTCTATACACAAAGTGGCAATTAATATTTGTTTTGAGAGAGCTTAAAAGTAGAAAGTCACTTTCAAAGTAATCTTCAAAGATATCTAAGATTGTTAGTCGATAATGTGTATCTAATCTTGTCAGAATAAGCTTGAAATCAGTGTAGTGGTTAACCCATTAAATCTTGATATGCTAAGTTAGCACGGTAATTTGTTAAGTGCGCCCCTGTGATTTTCTTGCTTTGTAGGCGATTGTGCTCACATGGTTAGACAGCTCCCTTGGATAAAAGTGTTCATTCCAAGACACGTTTCGAACCTAATTTGAGAAATTGGTGTCTGTCGTATTGTCAAAGGTAGAGTCATCTCATCTCTTCATGATTAGTCATTCTTATTATTTACAGTATCAAGTATCGATCAAATTTATAGTTAAACAACAAAGTTCAAGTGGATTTGTGTTGGTTTGACGGCTAATTTTATATAATGTTATGACGTATTAGCTTAATAAACGTGTATTTTTCGAACCCTTATTGTTATTTAAATGCCCGAAAGTAACAATATAATTATACATAAAAGTTTGAAATGAGTAATTCGATCTGTCTAAATATTTAATAAATAATCAAATTTTAAGATTGGTATTATGTTAATCTCAAATAAGCTATAAACACGTTAAGAATAAATATCTCACGATCCCTTTAATACGAAAATGTATAAAGAATATTGGTTACTTCCAGTAAAAAGTTGACATCTACAAAAGATGTAACACTAAACATGTTGCATGATGTCCACTTTACGTTAATCTTATCACGATTTATTAAGCCACATGTAAGCATACCACTCAAGTCTTAACCGCAATTGAGGTTAATTATTAATTAACTACCTCATTACTCATATAATTTTAAGCAGTGCAATAAAATTACAACAACTGTAGGGTGAGGAATAATCGTATTTAATTATATGGAAAAGGGGAATTTAAATTAACATCCGCCTAAAACATTAAGGTATGTTACATAATGGACACGACTAAACAAAATAATGGATAACTTTTTTTATTTTTATTTTTTATTTTTTAGTATTATCTCATTCTTTTTAGTATTTCATAGTAGTTGTGTTCGATACGAACATGATACAAAAATAAACGGTACATTAGATAAAAAAAAATAATACCTTTTTACAAATATTATTCGGTATTTTTTGGATGTCATATTATCATAGGTTGATAAGTAAGACGAGCTGCGGACATAACCAAGTACTGAATCACTAGTGTAAGCCACTGGTCATAATAAGTGAAAAATTCAAATTTCAGTAGGAGAAAAAGAAAAAAACCCTTAATAACGAGACACGAGCGACTCCACTTGTCCCTCCTTAACAAGGACGAGCTCATAGGGTAAGACGAGCCCAACTTTTCAGGGGTGAGCCTGCGTGTACCTAGCGTGTCCCACGGTTGAGTAAGTCAAGCCCGATGGTGGATGAATAAAGTGACTCGCCCTATTTAATATTCCTACATTGTGGTGTGTATATATTGCTGTACACCTTTTTTCTAAATATATGTATCATACGATGGATGATAAAGTCATGATTATAACAAACTTGTATATAACTCATTTTTATTTATAATAATTAATTTCGCGTAATAAATAACGTCCACAAATAAGATCCTTAGCTACAACGAATCTATAACTAAAGTGTGAATCAACTGAATACTTAAATATTTACAATGAAGTGCTTAAAGTTAATTAAGGTTGGATTGTTGAACGTCTTGAGTTGTAGTTTTCTCAAGAATATCAACTTGTAAGATAAGGTTGTTCGACGTTACAGTGGTATGACCAATTTGATCATTTCGAAAGAATTTAATTGTCCAATTTAGATGATATTGTCTAAAGATAATATATATTACCCTACTAAGAAAAAAATTAAAGAGACAAAACTTCTAGATAGTGAATTGCCAAATTACAAAATAAGAATTAACATAATAAAAAAAAAAAAAACCGTAACAACTTTGTAAAAAATGTAACTATCCGATGACTCCAATCACAGAGAAAATCATTACACGCACCCGAATAAAAATTCTCGGTACATTTTTTCTTAAGAAAATCTTTTTATGTCGAGAATATTCAAAACGTATCTTTGTGTATCAAACAAAAACAAAAATGCATAGTATAACGTTGTAGTAGTTTGACGTGAATAGACTCGACAAATACTCATTAATTAGAGGGGAAAAGACCATGCAAATATACATTCATAATTCATAATTAAAGAAAATAAACAGAAGGGAAAAAAAATCCACGAATTTGGCATTGCATGGTGAAAATATGTAGTATTCACATGAATCCAAGAAAATTAATTTCTTAAGCAAAGTCCAGTTAGGTCATGCATATCAAGTTGAAGTGTCAATCAAATCATGTGCCTGAAGAAATACTATTAATTTGCAGAAAATTTTGAGTAGGGAAGAAATGCATTTTTGATGAATTATTGGTAACTTTTGTATAGGTGGTGTTAAATTGGGCGAATTAAGCTATTCGACTCGTCTATTGTTGGGCTCGATTTAGCTAGCTAGGCGAGCCAACTAGCTCAACTATAGTTTAGCTCAGTTCGTACTCATGACTCATAAATGATGCGAATCAAGCCAACGAGCTGCTCATCCCATTTTAATACCCTACTTTTTCATAAACACTCGAAAATAATTTTAAAATCATCCTATTCCAACATTTGATTGAACTTACGATATAATTTTAAAAGCTTCCTCATTTAATTGATGTGATATATAATTGAACTTACAATCATTTGATTTATCAAAGTATTTTCCCCTTTCAACAATTTTACCGTCTGGAATCCAAATTTATGACTCATTAATGGGTTCTCCAACAGTTGTCCTTATGAATTTTCAAAAAAAAATGACATAATCTAGATTCAATATAAGTACGGGTCACTTCATTAAAACATAAGAATCACATATATTTCTACCGAATCTTAAATACACACATTTATGTATATATTGGATTTATTTTGATCCGAAACATTAAACATGAAATTTTATTAGGCTTGAATTTTGAACTACTACATTCTATACTGTTACATTAAACCATCTCGACTATCAGACTTGAGTTTAACAGTTAAAACCACTACGCGCTCTACTACGATACTAAATCACCTCATTTACAAATTTAAAACGCGATCCCCCAAAAAAAAAATATATATATTCATTTAAAATTACTTTCAAATTTTCAATGTTTCTTTTCTGGATGCGTCTAAATGTTTGCCTATTCTAAGACATGATTTAATTGTGGGGTACTTCAATCTACGTCCAAATCACAGTTTGGTCAAATTTCAAATCATCCTATTCCAGTCATACCAAGAAAATTTGGTCAAAATTCAATTCATGCACCCTTAATTTCACCTACTCACTTGATTGCAAATTAAATTTTTCCACCATCAATAACAACAATAAAATTAAATTTCCATTAGAAAATACACTCGCACAATTAGGAGTGGACATCGAGTAGTTCGATCTAAACTATTATGAATTGGACCAAAATAATTTCCATTAGAAAATGTGAAATGGAACAACATCAATTCTATGAAAAAGGAAATCGGACTAGATTGATACTTTTATGCATTAAAAATAAATTGTTAATTCTTTATTTCATTTTTACCTTTTTATTTTAAATGATAAAAACCGTCAATTATTACATACTAATAAATTCATGTAAGTTAATTTAAATTAAGATTTATTTGATATTTTTAGAGTTGAATGAAACTTTGGTTAAGAAGCTGAAATCGAGAATGAAATTATTATGGGCTTGTTTGGGAGCGATTTTTCCTCCCAAAAAATTAATTTTTTGACTGTTATTTTACTATTCCAGCCGTCATAGTTGACTTCTTCTTTTACAGGTGGATCCCACTTTTCTCCTAATGATCAAAAAATCAATTCTCAAAATCACTCCCAAACAGAATATAATTTGATTCATGATTCTATAATTCAAAATTGGCGGATCAGAGTCGGATGATTTCACATAAAAATGCTTTTCTAATCAGCATAGAGATGTACATATGCATGTACATAATTTTACATACATAAAAAAACTGGTCACATATAGGCAAAATAAGAGCCCAATATTTGAAATTAAAAAAAAATAAAAAATGAAACAAAAGGGTGTTTAAAGTTTGTATGTGATGGTACGGATAGTAAATTCATCCCCTCCGTGCCCTTTCCAATTCTGTCCCAAAACCAAAAGGCTGGCGGCTGGCCCCTGCCCTGTTTCCTCGCACCTCTTTCACCAGTCAACTCATTGGCCTACTCTCTCTCTCTCACTCTCTCTCTCTCTCTCTCTCAGCCTACATTCACATATACATACATAGACTCTCTCGAATATGTTTCTCTCACAAACACATGAGCTGGTGGGAGATTCCGTGTGTGGGATAATTCGAGCTGTATTTGGAAGGCCTATTGTTGGCACCCCACCCCACCACCACCACCACCTCCACCTATATATACCCCTTTGGTTCACTCCCTTTTCTCATCAAAAACTATAACCCATCTACCAAAAAAGCTACTAATTGTCACTACTGATAGTACTCTCTCTGTACTATTTCTATTCCATCTGTTATTGTTACATAATCATGGAATTCATCTGCTTATGTTTTTTCTTAATTGCAGCCTTAATTTTGTCCCTCAATGCCATCCTTAAATTCTTCTCCTTTGGCCAAGTGAAATTGCCACTCCCACCAGGCACCATGGGATGGCCTTACATAGGAGAAACCTTTCAACTTTATTCCCAAAACCCAAATCTTTTCTTTGCTTCCAAAGTCAAAAAGTGAGTCCAAATTCTTATTTCTTAATTTGATGTTCAAGACTTACTTGATTTACAGATTTCTTACATAATTTTTTTTACTAGGTATGGTTCTATATTCAAGACTCACATATTGGGGTGTCCTTGTGTGATGATTTCGAGCCCCGAAGCTGCAAAACTTGTGCTTGTCACCAAATCAAATCTCTTCAAGCCCACATTCCCTGCAAGCAAAGAGAGAATGATAGGCAAACAGGCTATTTTCTTTCATCAGGGCGACTATCACGCCAAACTCCGCAAGCTAGTTCTTAGCGCATTCACGCCTGAATCAATCAAGAATATTGTACCAGATATCGAGTCCATTGCAATTAGCTCCCTCAGATCATGGGATGGAAAATTGATCACTACTTTCCAAGAAATGAAAACAGTATGTTCTACCTTAAGAAAACAGAGTCCCCTGTTTTTTTTCTCTCTATTCCTCTGTTTTCGAATCTGAAACATTGAGTTCTGATCAAAACTGTATGTTTTTACTATCCTGCAGTACACTTTCAATGTGGCCTTACTGTCCATATTCGGGAAGGATGAAGTTTTGTACAGAGAAGACCTCAAGGGATGCTATTACAATCTCGAAAAAGGGTACAATTCAATGCCGATTAACATTCCAAAAACTTGTGCTTGTCACCAAACCAAATCTCTTCAAGCCCACATTCCCTGCAAGCAAAGAGAGAATGATAGGCAAACAGGCTATTTTCTTTCATCAGGGCGACTATCACGCCAAACTCCGCAAGCTAGTTCTTAGCGCATTCACGCCTGAATCAATCAAGAATATTGTACCAGATATCGAGTCCATTGCAATTAGCTCCCTCAGATCATGGAATGGAAAATTGATCACTACTTTCCAAGAAATGAAAACAGTATGTTCTACCTTAAGAAAACAGAGTCCCCTGTTTTTTCTCTCTCTATTCCTCTGTTTTCGAATCTGAAACATTGAGTTCTGATCAAAACTGTATGTTTTTACTATCCTGCAGTACACTTTCAATGTGGCCTTACTGTCCATATTCGGGAAGGATGAAGTTTTGTACAGAGAAGACCTTAAGGGATGCTATTACAATCTCGAAAAAGGGTACAATTCAATGCCGATTAACATTCCGGGAACATTGTTTTACAAAGCCATGAAAGCCAGGAAGGAATTGGCAGAAATCTTGGCCAAAATCATGTCCCTTAGAAGGCAAACGAAACAAGATTATAACGATTTGCTCGGATCATTTATGTGCGATCATGAAGGACTAACCGATGAACAAATTGCCGATAACATCATTGGCGTCATTTTTGCAGCAAGAGATACCACTGCCAGTGTACTGACATGGATTATCAAGTACCTAGCAGAAAATCCAAGCGTTCTACAATCTGTCACCGTAAGCTATTAAATCCCACTTGCTTATATTACAATAATCGAAAAAAAGTTCGTGCGGTGACTCAATTCTTTGTACTGTTTTTGTGATCACAGGAAGAACAGGAAGCAATAATTAAGTCTAAAGAGGAATCTGGTGAAGAGAAGGTACTGTCTTGGGCAGATACCAAGAAAATGCCAATTACTACAAGGATGATTCAAGAAACACTCAGAGTTGCATCTATTCTGTCCTTTACTTTCAGAGAAGCTGTTCAAGATGTCGAATTTAATGGTAAGTTAAAACCAAAATCTAATAAAAAACTTCGGAAAAATTTGTCCTTTTGTATTGAAATTTGGTTAATATTTATCTCTTGGTAAATTTACAGGCTATCTGATACCGAAAGGATGGAAAGTTTTACCACTCTTTAGAAACATTCACCACAGCCCAGAAAATTTCACAGACCCTGAGAAGTTTGACCCTTCAAGATTTGAGGTAAATTTACCATTCTTGGTCCACAAAATTCATTGACTTTACAGTTTTACTGTAATCTTTCTTCACTGCAAAGGCCTAGGCTAAAATCTTTTTTTCTGACAGGTTGCTCCAAAGCCCAATACATTTATGCCATTTGGCAATGGGATCCACTCCTGTCCAGGAAATGAATTAGCCAAGACTGAGATGTTAGTCCTTGTGCATCATCTGACCACAAATTACAGGTGAAAAAAACCTTAAAATTAACAGTCTTTTCGTATGTTGTAAAAATTTCAGTTCCTAAATATAGTATGTTCGATGTTATCTCCTTATGGAAAGTTTGTTCCTATCCTTGCAGGTGGTCTATGGTGGGCCCACAAAATGAGATTCAGTATGCACCCTTCGCTATTCCCCAGAATGGTTTGCCCATTAAACTCTCTCTCAAAAAGTAGAAATTTGCATTTACAAAAACAGGGCCATTCTGACATAGAGAAAGGGGAAGTTTCAAGAAATTCTCCAGTGTTCTTGATGAAGAAGAGATCATCAGCTCACATGAAGAGGAGCACAACCGTAAAAAAGGATACCCACAACAAAAAGATTTTGGGTGTTAAACTGGCTCACGGAAGCCATATGCACGTAAACGGCACGTTTGATACGCTATATCGATAATGATTGAATGGAATAATTGACTATCCATTACACACACGTGTTTCCATAGCTAAAGTATGATAATTATTTGTTTTCCTTATAAGATTAGAAACTCAAGAACTAGAAAATACATATAGTGTAAGATACTAGGTTCAATTCTTTTCTTTTCTTTTCTTTTCTTTTTTTTTACTAGTTAACAGTCATTTTATCGTTTGTTTCTATTATCCCTTTTGAAATTTTCCTCTCAATTTTTCTTTTTTTCTAGAACT